ATATATCTATTTATTTAACCCTAAACCCTAAACTCTAAACTCTAAACCCTAAACCTTACGAGTACTGAACTGTGCCTTACCAGTGCCACAGCAGACATCGACATAACAGGATTCCGCTCCAGAGCTGACTGATACTGCTTTCATAATACCATTTAATAACCTCGGAGGGTATGTGGGTCGATACGCCGAGTACAAAGCAGCCTGTGTGTGTTCGTATGTAGGTAGCAGAGATGTGTTAGCAGATATTGGTAACAGCTTGAGAAACCCCACAAATACGACATCATCAATGGTCAAAGGTTTGATTAACATTTTTAAATTCGTCGAAGAGGTTGTAGATACGCACAATATGAAGAAACAAAAATGGGTATCTGATGTGTAGTAACATCGCTGTGGTTTTATGTATATGCAAACTCGTTGTGTCGACAGATGTATGCATACTCTCCCCTCCCACATCCATGCGAAGGTGCAGGGGTGATGGCGATCCCAACTCAACGCACAGGAATTGCCAGCCTTGCCGTTTATGTAGAAGGTCGGAAGTTCGGTACCGGCAATTAGACAATCACTATCTGTATCTATAGTTGGGGTGGCTTTGTTATGTGCTGCATGTGGTGTTTTGTTGTGGAATGTATGTACATACAGTATATGTCGGTTGATACTCTTCAAGGGTTTCCATCCCTTAAAGAACATATATGGTAGCTGACTACTCTTGAAGACCATATACGGTAGCTGACTACTCTTGAAGACCATATATGGTAGCTTACTACTGGAGCGAGTAAGCTAGGCTGACTCTGAATGTCAATGACTAGGCACAATAAATATGGAAATTCATACAAACTTATGCGGTATCGGCACATCGACTATACAGCTGGTCAATTTAATTGGCAGATGGGAGAGATACTATTCATGAAACTATTTTATGTTGAATATAGTGATTAAATATTATTTATATTGAATATAGTTGTTTATCATTATTTATGACACCCTATTTCTCTTATCTACAGAGAGCATTGCTAATTAAATACCGCAGTGGAATCAAACACAGGGTCGGACATATAAGGGAAAGCTATAGTACCCGTTCAGCGCCATAATATGTTCTGATATTCTGGGTACGGTATTAAGCCCTACAGTGCAAGTTCGACTTTTTCTCTTCGCGGCACACATGCATATGTATGTGATGCGACAACTTCTGCCGCATTAGTAATATAATATACACACGCGTACATTATTCCATCGCATCAGGCGTATAAGCAAAGAAGCGCATACATTGTACAACTTGTTAGATAAATATAGATATGTATGTGTATGTGTGTGTATATATATATAGCTATGTATGTGTATGTATGCATGTACATATATATAGATATAAATGTGTATGTATGTATGTATGTACGTATACAGGTATGTATGTGTATGTATGTATGTGAATATATTGTTATGTATGTGTATGTATGTATGTATATATATTTTTATGTATGTGTATGTAAGTATGTACGTATATATATATAGATATATATGTGTATATGTATATATAGCATCCTTAGGCCTAAGGAATAGCCATATTCACCGCTCGTAGTGATAGAGTACACCAGCTGCAACGAATGGCGGAAAAGCCCAAATGCCGCGCGCTCAACTACTTCATACTCATAGCCTGACGAGAGCTCGTGCGCAATCTCAGGCATATGGAAAAAAACAAACAACAGTGCAAGCTACATACATATATGAATAGGTACCCAAGTATGCAATTTAGACAAAAAATGCCCGAGTAAAAAATGTAACTGAAAGCGATAATCGATGAATAAGAGATGGCCAATTTATCAGCGATCTGGACAAAACCATCTTTATATCTTATACCCACCCAATACACATAGACACACACACATACATACATACGTACATATATATATATATATATGTATATATATACATATATGTATTTATATATATACATACATATATGTATATATATATATTATATATATATATATATATATATATATATATATATATATATAAGTATGTATGTATGTATGTATGTATGTATGTATGTATGCATGTATGTATGTATGTATATATATATATATATATATATATATAGTTAATTAAATCGTTGAGAGCTTAGTTATGCGCCACAATATGCACTGGATGTGTAGACAAAACATTCTTATACACTGGTGATGAAACATGCACTGATGTTAATGCTTATGCCATTGTATTCATCTAGTGTATGTACGAGCAAGCATATGCTGTAAAATAATTCCAAGTCATTAGACGTGCCCTTGGAAGAGTCCTATATATGACTGTCAAGCACGTATACCGTATACTTCCCCTCGAGCTCGTGTTTAATTAGCAATACGCATAACCAACGCACACTCAAATCCGACCCGATGTTCTATTTAAACACACGATCGTATCAAGCGGAGGAAAGAAGTAGAGTCATCTTCCGAACACAAGAGTACACAGATGCTGAAGCACTATATTTTATTCAGATTGGTAGTATTGATGTTTTTAGCAATGATTCAGAGTTTCCTACGTACCTGACCGGGGTGACCGAAGGGGTCTGGCTGTTCGGTCATGGTATTGCTTCCCAACAGAAGAGGTTTCCACTTTCAAGAGGGTCGAGAAGTAGAATTTAAACACCAATGAGCGAGATACTCACAAGTGTACGTCCTGAATTACCCTCAGCCAGGCCAGGTGGCCTTTTCCCAGAATTTATTGTTGTTGTTGCTTTTAATAATGAAATGTGCTATATGCTTATGCTGTTGATACCTGTGCCAGTAAGTGGCAGTGGTAGAGGCGATTGACTATAACCATTGAACACCTTTTTATCCGTGGACGATTGTTGTGAAATTGTCAGTGAGCATACATAGCCTTCTAAATAGAAACACAGTGAGTGCATCACTGTACATATCATCAATTGTTATGACGCATTGTGACGTAATAATTGTAATGACGCCATAGAATCATCAAGTGAACAGCTTACAATTGTCCCCTTTTTCTCTTTTTTTCTCTTTTTTCTTTTCACGATCCTCTGGATTATCAAGGGTTCTCTCTTCAGTCTCACTTTACTACTCTCTAGTAGAGTCTACTAACCCGAGCATCAGAGGGCCGGGTTTTTTTTACAAACAACCAAATAAGGCATTCCTTAACCTCACAAATTTTAATCACAATGCATACCTCACAATACGTTTTCCGTTAAAAAACGTATAAACATGACGACAAACCCGGAATAAAAATATTTTTAAATATAGTGATCAGTTATTTATAAATATTTACCACAGATACAGTGACAGTTGCCTTTTTTTTTTTTGGGTAATTATTAGTATCGTAGTCGTGACACCAGTCACCAGTCACCCCACTGAGACACAACAGAGTCTGAAGAGCACATAGGAGTAAATATTTGCTTTTATTATTAAAAAACCCCAAATAGCTGCCCCGACCTATCGGCTCATATTTATCCTGTTCAGTGCTCAACTACTCACCTGCTATATTGTATGTATTGTTATGTGAAGGGCAAGAAATTTTATGCGTGCCGGACTGCCGGACTGCCGGCGAGACTTCAATGGTTTCTGTTTCAACTCTCCGGAGCGCGATGAGCATGTGTGATATTTTCAGAAATAGCATAGCGCCGTAGCCTCCTTGCCCAACTGTATGGAAGTCGCCTCTCCTCTATACTCTATCTCTCTCTCTCCTACTGAGAGAAAGAGAGAGAGTCTAAGACTTTAGAACGGATAATCGTGAGTGTTCAATATAATAGTGTCAAACAACTAGGTTATCCGACCCTTATGACACATGCACGCAGAGCAATAAGGGGGATGGCAAACTATTAAAACTTGTGATGACAGCTAGCGATCTAATAGTTCCCCCCAGGCGGTTGGGCTTATGTATATTCTTTATAAGTTACATCGCTTGGTTGAATAGTGTGTACGTACTTGCAGCCGAACCCGGTGCACAACCGTTCGAAGGTCAACATCTTGACGATCCTCCCAATAACGGGTCTACGACGGTCTGGACAAGTGTGTTTCTCGATCGTATTCTGGCTGTTGACCAAAAAAAGTATGTCATATATTTGACACTCAGTTAAGCAAGAATACATGGATATGTAGCCATATGTATATATATATATATATACATATAAATATATATACATATAAATAT